TACTGCAGTACAAAACTACGTAGACTTTCATATTCTTGCTGATACTCTGATCTTGGGAAAGACAGTGACTGAAGCATGGAGGAGTTGAGTCTCCCAGGCATAGCAATTTGGAGTGATGTAGCAATTTCCTTTAAAATTAACTTTGGTATTGTTTATTTTAAATCTCTCTCTGCTACATGATGAAGTTAGGATGGTTGCAGATCACATCCTATGGAAACCAATAAGGAATAGAAAGATTCAATTACTTCATACTGTAAAAGCAGCAGCATTTTGGCTTTAATATAGCCGAAATGTAGAAGTCAGTGAAACCTCTGTGGAGCACCGCACATAAAACTATTCATGGAACAGAGTTCTAATTCTACAAAATAATATGATTTCAGGACGGTGTGTAATGAATCATTTCAGCACTGTTCAAGTGCATTAAACTGGCTGCTGAGACTTCTGAATAAACTATCTAAAATGCACCCCTTCCTGGCTATCCACACAGCTGAAACTGCTGCCCAGACTCATCTGGTATTTCAGTTATTGCCACATCATCTTTTTGGGCCTTCAGTAATGTATTCTTCCCATGAGCATGTCCATCAAGCAGTGCAGTTCAGATCATATTCCCAGTTTCTCACTTTGACAAAGCCTCCCTGGAAGGCACAAAGTGCTGATTAATGGCCTAATGCTGCATGATGGTGCACAAATAGTTTAATGCCTACAGTGAGTTCTTCTCTGATGGTTTCAATGAGACTCAAAACAGATGCAAAGTTTTATTGTGTCCAGCAGAATCCATCCTAGTACCTTTCCTTCCTCTGCTCATTAACATCACAGACAACTTGACTTTTCCCTCTCCCCGTAATTAGGCTTCTGAACCACCAACATCATTCTTTTCAAAATCTTTAGTTATTTTTTATTAATCAAATCTCAAAGTTACCTTCACTCTTCTTGATTTACCAACCATCATAGACAGCTGGCTATATTTGAAGTTTTGTTCTCCATTAGCTCTGTGGTTCCGCTTTTCAGCTTTCTTTCCTGTTACTGTTCCTTCTGAAGTTCACTCAGAGGTGATCCTCATCCACCTTCTAGATGCCCAACAGGTGCTGACTAATCTCTTCAAGATATTTCTGCTTTCTCCCTCTGCCTTCTATTTTCTTCTCTTAAGAACACAAGTTCAGGTATCACTCCCATAACAGTGAATAACAGCTGTCATTTTTTCTCTCTTTCACTGAATCCAGAATCTGTGCCTTTCTCGAATGCTTGTGTAGACAAAAAGTAGAGCTTTAAGAGACTTTTCTGGTGCTTTGAACACATTTATTGTAAACAACACTATCACATTTGATCAGTGTGAACTATCGTAGTCATCACCTGTGACTTACCTTTCTGTTTGTTAACCAAGCTACACCAAGAAAGATTATTTCTATCCATCATCATGTCACAATGATTATTCAGATACTTACGGCCAAATATCTTGCTTTCGGCAGCACGGCATTCTGTGAATTTAAATGTAATTGTAGTCTGACATCTGTCTGGAACTCTGTTCTTGGACATTGGCTTTGACTATAATGTTCTTTTTCTCGCAAACTTCTACAGATTCTTCCTCATGATAGGAAGCACTTCCTGCCTACTATATCTCACGCAATATTGAGAGTTTATTTCCCATCTCCAGAATGCATCCATCACCCAAACACTGAATCTTTCTGACAATTGCTTTCATACCATCCCTTTAACAGCCCTTCAAGCATGGAAAGAGCTATTGAAAAAATACTGATAAAATAAAAATAATATTTATTTAAAACTGTCATAGCTATGATTCCTATAGCAGTCTTGAAAATGCCTCTTGTGTTGAGCTGTCTGCCTGTTACAAACCACTGGTGGTCTGCAGGTGTTCCCCATCATCTGTCTTGACAAAAGCCATGCCCTCTGTTTACAAGGTCAAGGTACTTCACCTGGAGATACTTTCCAATAGGTATTTCTTTTCCAGATCTGGGAGACCATCAAAAGAGCCCAGAATAGAGAGAAGAGTGGCATGCTGTTCTGCCTAAGGAGCTGGAGAGATGCCTGAGTCCTGCATCCCCTAGAAGCCTGTGCTATCCTCAGGGAGACCTCAGTCGCCTTCAGTGGTAGCAGGCCACCTATCTGAAACTCCCCTTATACCCTTACATATTTCTGACATATCCAGGTCTGGAGCTGAACTAGCTGGAAAGTGCAGAAATCAGCACTTACACAAAAGACTCCCAGGCTGATCTCTAGAGATGAGATTCATACTCAAAGCCCCAAGGTTCATAGATCTGAAAATAGGAAACAGTGGTTCCTGAAGCTGTCTTTAAGGTGTGGTTAACACCTCTGTTTGATTTCCCCTTCTTCCACACCAAAAGATGGTAACTGCATACCCTAAAGATACTGCTACTGAATAAAGTCTTATACTCAGCTATCTCTGGCATACCCGGACTGGATATACTCATCCTGAAGAACTGTTTACCTCTAAATATCCTCCACTAAGGTGACTTATGACCTCTGTTACAGTAAGCCCTATCTATCTGTCCGTCTGTCTATCTATCTATCTATCTATCTATCTATCTATCTATCTATCTATCCATCTATCTATCTATCTATTCATCTCTCCTTTGGACAGTTTAAGTGTATAAGTAAGTATGGCCCAGGGCCCCATCCATCCTGGCCTTGAATGCCTTCCAGGGATGGGGCATCCACAGCTTCTCTGGAAACTCTGTGCTAGTGATTCACCAGCATCAGAGTAAAGAAGTTAAAAGTAGAGTAAAAAGTAGACTGAAGAAAACAATAAGCCACAAATTACATATATGCAAGCCTTATTTCTTGCACTTTTCCTTAGCAACCACTTTGAATCCACTCAGACATCTCTGACGCTGAGCTGGAAAGACCTTGGCTGACCTAGTTCTTAGGCTGAAGATTCTGGCTCTACAGGAGTAGCAGAGTGGGACCTCATACCCTGAAATCTCCGATAACAGTTATGGTAAATAAAGATTTGTCACCAGAAGTTATTATTCTATATTGTGGTCACAGAATCAATAAGGTTGGATAAAACCACTAAGATCATCTAGTCCAGCTGTTAATCCATCACTGCCATGCCCACTAACCCATATCACTCAGCACGACATCTCCTTGTTTCTTCAACACCTCCAGGAATGGTGACTCCACCACCTCCCTGGGCAGCCCATTCCAATGCATTACCACTCTTTCTGGGACAAAATTTTTCTTCACATCCAACCTGAGCTTCCCCTGGAGCAACTTGAAGCCATTCCCTCTCCTTCTATCACTGTTACTGGAAGAAGAGGCCAACCCCCACCTCCTTTCAGGGAGTTGTAGAGTGATAAGGTCTCCTCTGAGCCTTCTCTTCTCCAAATTGAACAGTTCCAGTTCCCTCAGTCGCTCCTCATAAGACTTGTGCTCCAGACCCCTCACAGCTTTGTTGCCCTTCTCTGAATATGCTTCAGGGCTGTAATGTCTTTCTTGTAGTGATGGGCCCAAAAGTGAACACAGTACTCAAGGAGCAGCCTTACCAGTGCTGACTACAGAGGGACATTCACCTCCCTGCTCCTGCTGGCAATTTCTAATACAAGATAGGATGTCATTTGTCTTCTTAGCTGCCTGGACACACTGCTGGCTCATATTCCTCTTAGCATCGATCAATATTCCCTGATCATTTTCCTGTGCGCAACTTTCCAGCCACTCTGCCACAAGCCTGTAGTGTTGCCTGGGGTTGTTGTGGCCAAAGTGCAGGACATGGCACTTGGTCCTGTTGAAGCTCATACAGTTGGCCTCAGCCCAGCTATGCGGCCTGTCCAGGTCCCCCTGTGGGCCCTTCCTACCCCAAGGCAGATTAACATTCCTCCCAACTTGGTGTCATCTGCGAACTTATTGAGGGTGCACTCAATGCTCTCATCCAGGTCATCAGTGCAGATGTAGAACAGGACAGGCCCCCAGCAACAACCACCACTCTGTGGGCCTGGCCATCATCCAGTTCTTTACCCATCAAAGAAAGTAGCTGTGCAAACCAGAGGCGAATCATATAACTTGTAAAAATCTTCATCATTCATCCTCACAGTTACACAAGTGTAGCACTGCTGCTGAGCCACAGGTGAGCACAAAGGAAGGCAGCCCAGGGGTTACAGCACTGGAAAACTCAGGACTGAGTTTTGGCTCTGTCCTATCCCTGCCTTCTGGTTCCAGGCAAGTGACTCAGATTCCTCGTAACTCACTCTGCTGCCCAAGGGTACTGATGCTTCTCTGCTTTAGGACATGATTATACTGATAAATACAGTCAGAAGTTCTGAGGTGTAAGGGCAGTGTGGTAAGGTAGATCAGCCAAGCTGTGGAGGAAGAGGCCTGCCCAGGTCCAGCGGCTGTCAGTGAAGTGGATGAGGAGATGACAAATCCTCCTGGACAGAGCTACGTGTGCCTGAGAGCTCCGGGGTGCTCTCCTGTTCCATCCTCTCCTGGCATTGCTGCTTGGTTCCAGCTTCACCAAGGAATCGGAGTTTGCCAAGTGGAGATGTGGAGAGGAATGGCTAAAAGTCACTCTGTGCACGCATATCTGAGGACTTCAAGAATGATTTTCCCAGAACAGTGCAAGTGGCTCCTCAGGGGAGAGCTTTGGGAGCTTGAGAGGTATGATTTTAGGAGCTGAAAGAAAAGAGGTGAAATCAAGTGGCTTAAGGTCTTAAAAACAGGGCTGAAAGAGAGAAACATTTAATTACTGAAGGCTGGGGGAAGAAAAGAAAGAAGGAGCGAAGCGAGTACGCTATAGGCACGCCAGGAGTCTTTGCAGGAGAGGCAGCGGCGCGCCGAGGCGAGCCCGAGCCCCAGGGGTCGCGTGGCGGGCGGCGCTAGGGCCCGGGCGGGCGGAGGCGGGGGCGCGGCGCCGGGCGGCGCTAGGGCGGGCGGCGGCGGCGGCATGGCCGGGAGCGCGGCGCGGCTCCATCCCGCGGCCCCGGGGGGCGGCCCCCGCCGAGCGGCTGCGGGCGGCCGGGGGGAGCGGGCGGCGCGGCCGGAACGTGGACGTCGCCCGCATGCGGCCGGGAGCTCCCTCCCCCCCGACTCGGGCCGAGCGCGGGGGGCAGCCCCGCGGAGCCGTGTAGCTTTGCGGCCCCGCCGACGGGGCGGGCTGGTCGCGGGGCCGCGCCGCGGAAGGTAGGGGAGGCGGCTCCGGCCCCGCCGTGCTGCGACCTGAGCGCGTGTGGGCGGGGTGCGCCCCTGCGCCGGGATAAATAGCGGCTGGCGAAGCTGACAGCCCGGCCCGGGGCGCGCGGGTTCGGAGGCTGCGCTCGAGGTAGCGCCGGGGAAAAAAGTTGGGGCTGTCGCTGACTCCGCTCCGAAGCCCCGCTCCCGCCCGCAGCCCGCAGCCCGGACCGAGCCTTTTTTTTGTTTCTTTTCTTCGTTTTGATTTTCCCAGCCTGGGAAAGGGGAGGACCGGAGAGCCGCGCGGAGCTCGAGCCGCGCTTTCCCCCGCTCTACGCGCACCGCAGGGGCGATGCTGGAAGGCGCCGCGAGTTCGCAGCGCGCGTTCAGGGCAGCGGGAGGCGCGTGAGCTCCCGCAGCAGCCGCTGCCCCCTCCGCCCGCCCCGAGCGCCGCCGCCGGAGGAGGCTGCCCGCCCGCCCCAGCGGCCCAGGATGCGGTTTCGCCTCTTCTCCTTTGCCTTGATCGTCCTGAACTGTATGGATTACGGCCACTGCCAAGTCGGCCGCTGGAGACGCGGCAAGAGAGGTGAGTGAGGAGGAGCCGCGGGGGCCGCCGTTCCCGCCCCCTGCCCGAGGCAGGTGAGCCGACCCCGGGCCGGCAGCTCCGCCGACCGCGAGAGTACCGAGTCCTGCGGCCGCCCCCCGGTGCCGCCGCGCGGCTCCGCAGCTGTTGGTAGCGAGCGGGGTCGCGGGGCGCGCTCTTCGGACTGGGCGCTGGGGCTGCTCCGTCCGCCCTGCGATCTGGTCTCAGCACGGCGGAGCCTCGGGCAGTGGCTTGCAGAGGTTTCGCTTCGTTGTGTGACGATGTTGTGCTCAAAGCGCGCAGAGCCCTTCGAGAAACGGGGAGAAGCGGTGCGTTGGGATCGGGTCTGTTTGGCTGAGATGTTGCTGCGGGGATTGCGGAGTTGAGAGCGGAGCAGTGTGTCTGTACAGCACCCGTGTGGCCGCAGCGGTTACTGCAGCTCTTCTCAGCTGTCAGCCGCCTGCGGTCTGCTTCCCTCTTTGCTTCCCTCTTTTTTTCTTTCTTTCTTTTGTTTTTTATTTTCTGTAGGATGAATCACCTTCACTGTAAAATGTTTCTGTTCTCCACGTGTTCTCAGTCGCATTGCCGTTCGTTTCCCCCATTCTTTTCACAGCCGTTCGTCCCATTCCTGAAGCTAACGGTAAATCAGGTGGCCCCAGTACTGAAGACAGACGTTGGGATTTCAGGACAAATTGCACCGAATGGTTATTTGAATGGAGGGGGGGAGCGAACATCTACAATGTGAAGCCGGTACAGATAGCAGTGAAACCTGCAGAAGGAGAAGAGCTGTGCTTCCCTGCAGCCTCAGAGTAGGCACAAATAAAACTGTATAGCACTTTAGTTTTGATGGTTCTTCAACAGATGGTTTCCAGAATTTAACTTCAGTGTGTGGCTAAAACGATAGCAGTCCTTGAAAGTGACCAGCCTATCTGTGCTAACAAAGGGGATACTGTGTCTTTAATTAAATGTGGAACTACTTAGAGTGCTGACGAGACAGCGGAGGGTGATAGCGCGGTATTTCTGCTTTACAACAGAGCTTAAGGGCTGCATTGTGGGAGCGCGAAATGAATAGGCATGGAGCTCGAGTGGCGTGAATTGTCCTCTGACCAAAACCTAAGCTGGTTTTAATTGATCTTATGTTCGACGATTGATCTCAGAGCGATTGTTGGGCGTGCTGAACAATTGGCTTTTCCAAGGAGATTGATTTAAATTAGTTTTTAGTTTAGTTATTGGATAAATAAAGTCGGTATTGACAGTTGGCTTACTGGCACTGTTTTGTGCCATCACCTAAGGGTTCTGTTTTGTGCTTCGAAGAATGCAGCCTTTTCCAGTCAATAAGGCTGAAGAAGTAAGCGCAGCCAGTTTGGAGCACTGAAAGCAAAAGCTAAGAATGCATTCAATACTATAATAGACTTGCCATGACACATGCAGTCTGAAGTAATGCTTTCGTACAGGATTCAAAATTCCAATAATTTCACAATTTTTCCATATCCCATCTGCAAATAATCAGGCATTCACTGTGGGGTACTGGCAGTTAACGTTTCTTTGGCATTCTGTTTTGTCTGTTATATGATCTCAGATGCTCCATAATATCATTTTCTTAATGAAATGAAAATTTTGGCATCGATTCAGTCTCCTGTGTGGTAGAAATCAATTGCATTCAGTCTGGAATCAGGGCAAAAATCATGTGTAGCTGACTTCTTTTTTCTTTTCTTTTTTTTTTCTAAAAAGTAGCTGAATTATTGTGTATTCTGAATGTTAAATATATGTATATGGACACATATTTGTGTGTGTGTGTGTGTGTGTGTGTGACTACTGTGGGATACTCCAGTAAACAAGAATTTAGTTAATTCTAGTGGACGTTTCCAGACTCCTGTATTCCCCTTCTTCTTTCTTTCAACCCTTTCTCATACCAAGGAATCATGTCACACTGCAGTAGAAGTGGAATGAAGTACTAATGCTTAGAGTGTGCCTCCTTTCTGGCATTGGTTTCTGCTCTGAATGCCCCTGCTTTGAAAGTTGTGCTTTATATGTATCACAGTCAGCAGATGCTGTGAATGCCACTGCTCCTCTTAGTTACACTGCCTGGTTCAAACAGACCAGAGCCCTTAGTTCTCTGGAAACACTCTAGCACCTCCTCACCTTAGAAGTCTTGAGCCTAAGAAGGTAGATAGGATGATTTGCCTTTCTAACAGAATCTATTCTAAAATGTAGGGGATGTAGCTTAAAGGTCAGTAGTCCAACCTCATAGCTAGCTGATATCAAGACACCTCCTTTCCCTTTTTCTTTTAGTTGTATAATTTGATTTTTAACTACTTTTGAATACCTTCTACTTGTTCATTTCAATCTTGGATTTCTTTCTCTATATCACTCAGCATAAGGTGAGTGACTCCATGTCTTAGGACTTCACTGAACATGGTGGTGTGTGTGAGAGACAAATCGTTTTTTCCTTCTCTGAGAAGTGAGGAGAACAACTTTCCTAAACTTCAGATCCTAATGGTAGCATGTAGAAACGAAGACTGTTAGCCATGCTTACCAGGAGGAGTGATAGTGTTCTGCAAAAGCACTGACTGAAAAGAGTTTGGTTTCTCTGGAAATGACTGCCAAAAAAAAAAATTAGTTGAAGTCAATGTGATAATAATGATTGCATGGATGGGGAGACTTTTCTGTAGTAAGAGAGACTAAGAAGAGTTGATGAGACCCTGCTGGCATGGTGAAGAGATGCAGTGGGACACATTTGCATGAGCAAACTGGAGTTTATCTACATCCAGAACTCCAGAAAAAGCAGCGTAGAAAACTTGTCTTTCTATTCAGTTTATGAGATTTCATATTCAAGGAGAGTGATAAAGGCTACTATATGTACTCATCTGCCAAATGTTCTCATTCTGCATTGGATAAAGGCTGTGTCACTGCAAGTGCGTGGATGGTGAGCAACAGTAGAGATGGCAAAATATCTGCAGGTAGAAATAGGAGGGTCTGGGAATGGAAAGTTCCCTGTGTCCAAGTGGCTCAGTAGAGCTCTGCGTGGGGTGTTTGTATATGCATATATGGAGGAATGTAGTCACCACAATCTGACTGAAGCTGCTTAAATTTGTATCACCTTATGCAAGATGGAGATCTTGACCGCACATCAGTTATTAATTTACATGGATTTACAGCTAAAGGAAAACTTATTGAGATATAGGGGTTTGGGAATTAGCTTTATTAATTACGTGATTACCTAAGAAGGGGATAATATCAGAGCCTTTCTCATTTGTATGTGTGGTCAGGCTATAGGAAAGATTGAGCACTCCTTTATTAGGGAAAAGGAATTAAGGAAAAATGCATTGATTCAGGCATATACCACATCTGCTTTGCAAGAGCTGTACCAACTCCAAAGAGCATTTACTGCCTTAACAACAGCAGCATACAGACAGAGCAGGGAACACCTTTTGGTTGTGGGTCAGTATCCTGGCTTTTTGTCTGTTCTTACTTCTCTTTGAACTTGAAACATGTGTTGCATTTGGAGGACTGTGAACTTTTTGCTGGTGGGTTAAAGCTTAAAATCCTTCCAGGAAGCTGTACTTTGAACTCTGTTTTTTCCTCAGGTGTTATGTAAGTGCTTGTAACAATTTGTAAAAGACATGTTAACACTTGCTGGAGTTATTCCCCAGGTACTTGTGATCAGTAGTAAAGCTCTGGAGGGTCGCTTCTGTTCCTCAACCCTTTACTACTTGGAGTAGTTAGTTACAAAACACTCTGTGTATACAGATCCTATTACACCAGCAACAATATCCTAACAATGAATCTGCTGAAAAGTCAAACTTAAAAAATAAATAAATAAAAAAAATTGGCTACTCATACCCTATTGTCTGGTAAGTCTAAGGAAGCTTCTCACTAAAATGTCAGCAGAAACCAAAACTTGTATGAATGAAGGAATAATGAGCTAGCTAATGGCACAGTGTTGCTAAGGATAATCGGTGCTCAAGTGGATTGTGAAGGTTTGTGAAGGGATGCTCGAAATGCAAAAAGTGGTTCAGTTTGAAAATGGGCTCTGAAGTCCAGGAGCTTGATTCAGTTGCCTGATGTAGGTTTCTATTACTGCTTGTGATATCTAAGCCACCCTTTTGGACCTGGCAGGTTTGGTGGGGATGTACATGACCTTCTGGAGCAACAGTTGGAGGATTCCCATAGAGCAGGTCACATGCATCTGACACCCTGAGGTGTCTTTGTGGTGGAAGATGAAAATGGAGAGCATGTCCCAGCACATGCTGTATGTACACATGCTTTCCATTCCTGTTTGCATCCATTATCTACCATTAGTGGTCACTTGGGATGAGTATACTAACCTAGATAAGTATCTGGTCAGGCATGGTATCTCTGCCTTTTACTCTTCTGTATTAAAGCCTGTAGGAAGATTTGCAGAATAGTTTCAGTGTGATGAAGGGTATATTTGTCTGCTTTTTGACTTATTTGAATACTTTCCAATGTCTGGGAACATGTCTTCCAAGGCTTAGCTGAAATCTGTTGCTAGAGCAGGTCAAAATGCATGGCAAATACCCAAAAGTGAGGGTGCTTACTGATTAGGGAAATTAAGGTGATAGAAATAAGAATGCTAATTTACAATGAAGTCTATCATCTGCAGTATATAAGGACATGCAATTCCTATGATAAAATAATACCATGCTAATATACTTGACATAAGTCATTATCAGTAAAAATTTTGACATTATTTAAAACACAGAATGTGGAAGGTGTTCTCTGTCAAAATTCAAGGCATAGAAAGAAAAACAATGGTCTTCCTTTTTATATTATTATTATTTCTCTTTCTACTTCTAAGAGCCTGACTATGCCACAGAGGTCTGCTTTTCATTTCTTATGTAGCTATTTTTAATAATAATAATAATAAAAAAACCCCAACCAAACAAAAACCTTAGCTATTGATTTTTTTTATTTGATTTTATTTTTATTTTTTGATAGATCAGAGAGTACTGTCAAGTCAAACCTGCAGATCATCACATGTT